AGGGAAGGAAGGGTCCAGTTTGGAGACATGTTTTCAAGTTTATCCTACTCAGCTTGGATTTGACTTTCTCATCATTTCTGTCTTCACTGTGGGTACTTACTGATTCACCTCCCTACAGCTGAGTGTTAGCTTCCTTGGAACTTATTCTTCTATCACTCACTCCATTGTTCTCATATCAGTCTGTATTGTAGTTGTTTCCAAAAAGGCTTCCAAATAGTGTTCTGGGGTCCCAACTTCCTGTATTTCACCAAACATTCCATATGTTTCGCTCCACACCCAACTTGTATACATAGCAGCTTATTTTCAAGGTGATGTTATTTCTTTCTTTGTTCTGCACTATTTCCCAACAACCCCCTTTGACTTATATTTTTTTTATAAAAGTTCTTGAGTGATGCCACATGGAATTGCTAGTCTGTAACAGGTGTTCTTCCATTCAGGTATGGAGGGACCAAGGTGAGATCATCCCCTAGTCCATCTGTTTGGTTCTCTGACACTTGAAACCAATGACTCAATAAAACATAGGAATCACCTGTATTGTATGCATTGCTGCCAGGGCTTTCCTGTCTTTGCCCCAGTACAGCCCTTTCCCTGTAGGGGTGATGGCCCCTCAGATATAAGGGAACTCTGTCTGTCCTCACTGATTGCCTTCATTTATTTATTATTTATTATGTCTGTAAGTAGATATCGGTGGGACTAAACAGGACGTAGGAGACTCAACTGTCCCTGTCAAGAACAAGTGCTTTAAATAAATGACTAAAACTACTTTCACGATTGGTATAAACCCTGAGTCTCTGAGCCAGGTAGAGACAGTGTGACACTGTGAGTGTGTGTGTGCATATGTGTGTCTATGTGTCTGTGTGTATTGGATGAAATGGAAAATAAATTTTACCCTACATACTTCCATGCATGCAAAATATAGTACTGTAATATATTACTGTAAATAAACAGTAATATATTACTGTAAAATATGGTACTGTAATCTATTGTTTTTCTTTTTCTCCACTTTTATTTTAGCATCTGTTAATCCCAGAATATATTTATTCTGATAAAAAATTAACCTGGACTGTTAGCTCCCTGAGGACAGGGACTATGTACTTGGTTGACCAGTGAATCCGATGGCCAAGCCCATATGAGATGTTGACTGAATAAACAAGTGATTAAATAAAGGTTGGGATGAACCAGACCCACATATTTTTTCATATCATGGACAAAAATCTCCATTTCTTTCTACTTATTCTATTTATTTTAGTTTACAAATATGTTGCTCAAATTTTTAAATTAGAAAGTTAATCCTACCAGCATCCAGCATATGGTAATGATTTTAACGGAAATTTTTGGTTATTCCTCTTTATAAATTGCAATATTTCCATTTCGCATGTGTGATGATAAAAGTGTTAAAATTCACAGAATTATCTCACGTGACATCAAGAAGTTTGGTATGCACATTAAAAAAGTAGCAAGACTGGGACTTCGCTGGCGGTCCAGTGGTTAAGACTCCGTGCTTCCAATGCAGGGGGCGTGGGTTTGATCCCTGGTCAGGGGAAATAGGATCCCACATGCCATGTGGTGCGGCCAGAAAAACAAAAAGTAGCAAGACTATTACGGTTTAAAAAAAAAAAACAAAACTTTTTCTTTTTCATCAGAGTCATTAAAGGACATTTGGAAAACAAGAGAAGAAAATATTCCTATAATCCCAAGACTGAAGTGGTGTCACTAGTAACATCTCGATATGTTTCCTTCATATCGAGGTGTGGTTCAACGTGGCGCCTCATGCCTGTGGGTGTGAAGTGACCCACCAGCCTAACTCTAGTGGGAGGGTCGAATGGTGGTATTTAGGAAGAGGCATGGAATCTACAGCCCTGCAGCTGAGACGTTCCCTTTATCATTCTTTCCCATTTTGAAGAATAATTGCTGCTAGTAAAAACCCTCCACAGCTCTACATCCCATGGCAATCAAAGGGAAATCAGATGAGGGGGCAGAAATCAGAGGAAGCCGCATGGGACAAATGGGAGATGTGGTTGCACGAGGCAGGGCACAGAGGAAAGCAGAATGCCCTTCAAACAGGGTTTTGTAACAACTTTGTTATTCATGTTCTACCAATTTAACAGTTTCTAGTAACAGAAATTTGACAATTCTGCAGCTCACAATTACGGGCCTGACCCATGGAAATGTTACTTAGGGCAAAACTATTATGTGTCCAGAAGGGTGTGAGGAGAGAACGTGGCTGGCAATAGTGAGCCATCTGAGCAAAAAGATAATTCTCCTAGTAAATGCAGGCTAGACCTCTTACTGTGTGTTACTAATAAGGCACTGCTTTGCAATATTCAAAGGTTATCTGAATTATGGGCATGCCAGCCATCTAGAAATCTCTATAAAGTTTTCACTTCAGATTGGGTTCAACCATGCTAACCCATCTGTTGAGTGCCATTGTTAAATCCTAAATTAGATCCCACCCTTCACCCTCAGATTCCATACAACCTGTACTATTAATTATAGAAATCCAAGTCAGGCCCAAACCTATGGGATACAGGTTTAAGATTCTGACACCCAATGTAGACAGAGCAGATTCAACACCTGCCACTCGCTTCACAGAAAAGGGCTCTTTCCAAGGCCTTCCTGTGTGAGTGTGTGCCAAGTGCTACATATTTTTAGACATAATTAGTGGTGTTTACTTTTTGTTGTTAAACCTTTCCATATGTATCATATGGCATTTTGCTTCTTTCTATTCACTTAACATATGATCAAATAGCTCCATTTATTAAATGGGCTTCAGAGCCATCGTTTTAATTACTGCAAGATTCCCCATGCAATGTACACACCATCATCTATTTCCTCCACCTTTGGAGATCTAGACTGAAGAAGCTGCTTTGTATAATCCCCATGTGAAATACTCTCTGGAAAGGTTTAATGATTCATGCAAAGGGTTTAGACTTTTTGATATTGCATGAAGACAGATATCATCCATTGAAAAAAAGAAATGTACCAATCAGAATTCTATTTTATGTTGCTATTTTTTTTTTTTAGCACAACCAACCAACTCTCTATTCTTCTGTTTACATAAAATAGCTACTTATAGAGTAGAGCAATTACATAAGCAGCTACCTCATATAAAGATGCCAGGGGATCGGGTACCACTTCAGAAAGGGGTCTTAAGTCATAAAAGGGACGGCCCCAGCCACACACACTTCTCCTGTGGTTAGTTATTGTGTATTTTAATTCCTGACTCACGTCAAGATGTTTTCTGAGAGGAGCCAGTCCTGGAAGCTGGATGGAAGAATTGAAGATATTTGGGGACGAAGAGGGAGGCTCTAACCAGAGACTGTTAGGCCTCCTCTTTTCAAAACAACAAGAAATGATGACTCTCCTCCATCATATATAATTTAGCTCTGAGGTTTGGCAATTTCTGAGTAAAATGAATAAAAAATAAGGTGTGCAGTCATGTGAAATACCTTTGGTTAAGCTGCCCTGAGAATGACTAAATTCAAGACACAAGTGTGTGGGGGGAAGGGTGAGGGTAGACACACGCATTTAATACGCAGTACACACAGATAGTTCTCCCCTACTCCAGACAAGGGAGGGTGGGTCAGCAGGGGGCGGCATCTTCCCTGAGGGGGAAGAGTATTTTATTACAGACACTGTTGAAAAGGGCAATTATGTTATTACTTTAAAATTTTCTATCTACAACACACCCCCCTACTACCTGCACTCAGGGCAGACCACTCCCATTTACCCAACCTTGGCGTGCCACCAGCTTTCAAATACAGTACCTTATTACCCTTACGAAACAAAATCAGCTGGATTGGTTACTAACCCCATTTCAAGGAGAGGAAGCTGAGAGTCTGAATTTAAACAACTTGCCCTTGGTCATACAGCTAATAAGAGGTCCAGTCAGGATTTGAACTCAGAACATGCTGACTCAAAAGCCTACCTCCTCTAAAATATGCTGACTGCACAGGGATGATGGCTAGAGCTTTTATTCAGAGATAAAGAAGAAGCAAGAAGCGTGAGAGGGGAGAGAAAGAGAGAGCGCTACAGAGTGACTGCTTTTATAGTTTTCGGCCTAAGATCTTTCCCTTCTTACCTCATCATATTGTTTTTTTCTGGTTACCATCTATTGTGGGCTGAACTGCGTCCCTCCGAAATTCATATATTGCGGTCCTAACCTCAAGTATCTCAGGATGTGACTATATTCGGACACAGGGTCTTTAAAGAGGTCATTAAATTAAAATGAGGTCATTATGGTGGGCCCATTCCAGTATGACGGGTGTCCTTGTAAAAAGAGGAAATTTTGACACAGACAAGTCACTAACACAGAGGGAAGCCCATGTGAAGACACAGGCCACATCTACAAGCCAAGGAGAGAGGTCTCAGAAGAAACTGACCCTGCTGACACCACGATCTTGCACTTCCGGCCTCCAGAACCTTGAGAAAATAAATGTCTGTTGTTTAAGCCACCCAGTCTGCAGTATTTTGTTATGGTAGCCCTAGCAGACTAATATACCATCATCAGACTTACATGGAGGCTGCACTTTGGGGGCCGGGGGGGGGGGTGGGTGGTGGGGCGGTGTGCCCCATGCTGAGACCCCACAAAGCCACTCTCTCAGTGTGATCCATTAGCTGGGTTCATTTAGCTCCACAGGAACTGGTTTACAGGATCAAGCCAGGACACACATATGTGTACCCAAGGGAGCGATGGGGTTGGCTTCAAATTGACATTCCTATAAGGGTGCTACCGCACCTTTCCCTTTTGTCAAACAGATATTTCCCAGAAAGTTGTATTAAATGTGAACTGGCTGCCGCTGGCAGAGATGACCCCCATTTGGTAGCTACTGAATCAGGGCCTTAACCAAACATGAAATGACAGAACTGTTTCCAGAGGAGGATTAATTGAGCCAACTCAAGGCGAACACAACGTATTCTGGCATTGCTTTTGACAGATGGAAATAAAACAAACATTAGCAAATGGATTGTAGCTAACAATATGTAAAATTAAAGAAGGTACCTTTTTAACTTTGCCTGGGAACGCACTGGCTTTTCTTAAAAAATCTGCAGAAAGAAAAAAAACAGAATTGTTAATCTCATTACACAACCAGTTAGCACATGCAAACAAGGGGAATTATAAGCCTTTGCATTCAGGGGAGGAAACGGATATCTGACACATGTATTTATTAAGGAGACTGGACTGGAAAATAGTACTGCTGCATTAATCAGAAATGGTGTAGAAAATACTTAAATAACACAACAGAATGTGCACAGACAGCAAAAGCTGCTTACAGACGGAAGCCTACAGTCTAAGTATTTTTATTTGAAGATCAAATTTTCAATTAATTTTTTTCAGCTTGTTGCCATCTCTTCCAAGCATCCCTGTTAATTGCTATAAAAACAACGTCTCTCCCTGTTTGAATTCTGGACATGGAGGCCAGAAGCTGTCAGCCATCTAGTGGGCCTCGGAGTATCAGGGCAGAAATCAAAACCACTGGGTAGAGGCTGAACCAGTATATCAGGGTCGAGAAGCCGACTGATCCGTTAAAAACCCCTTTCTTCATTTGCTCAGTTTTTCAAAAGTTACATTTATAAGCTCTAGCGTGTCACTGAAGAGGGCAAATAGAAGCTTTCTGTTATTGGGAATTTCCAAATATCCCAACCTCAGGGGGTCTGTGGCAGACCAGGGTCTATACGCACACTCAGTGGATCAGCGGAGAAGGGACCACTTGCATCCTTCTTCTTTAGAATGAACAGTATACATGTCCCTGGCTGCAAATGAGCTTGTCCACTTCCGGCGGGTTCACTGGTGCTGGAGCGCTCTCTTCTAGTTAACACTCTCATTGTCTGGGATGATGGGAAACAGGAGTTAGAAAGCAAGTGTATGCTTAAGACTTGGGGTCGGAAATAGGGTTACACCTTGAGTCGAGGACAGGATTAGAATGAAGGTTTGGGGTGTAGATACGTTCACATATGTTTGGGCTTGAGAGTCAGATTTAAATTTGAGGATGATTTTAAATTGAGGATAAAGGAGAATAATGGCACTGAGGATCAAATGGGTAGCATTATGTTTAAGTTAAAATAGTCCAGTGTGAGAAAGATAACATGGATGTTTTAAAATAAGGCAAATCTAATTTTATAACCCAGATCCATCACTTAATACTTATGTAATCTTGTATAAGTCACCTAAATTCTCAGCCTCAATATTTTCATCTGTAAAATGAGAAGAGTGTCTATGTTGTACCTTCTTGAAAGAAACAGTAAAAAATAATGGATAGATGATAGATTAGATCGATTTTGTTCCCCTTGTCCAAGAGGACATCTGGCATTGCTTGGAGACATTTTTTTTTTTTTTTACATCTTTATTGGAGTATAATTGCTTTACAATGGTGTGTTAGTTTCTGCTTTATAACAAAGTGAATCAGTTATACATATACGTATGTTCTCATATCCCCTCCCTCTTGAGTCTCCCTCCCTCCCACCCTCCCTATCCCACCCCTCCAGGCGGTCACAAAGCACCGAGCTGATCTCCCTGTGCAATGCGGCTGCTTCCCACTAGCTATCTATTTTACATTTGGTAGTGTATATATGTCCATGCCTCTTTCTCGCTTTGTCACAGCTTACCCTTCCCCCGCCCCATATCCTCAAGTCCGTTCTCTAGTAGGTTTGTGTCTTTATTCCCATCTTACCCCTAGGTTCTTCATGACATCTTTTTTTTTTCTTAGATTGCTTGGAGACATTTTTGATGGCCACAACACGACTTGGGCGAGGAGAGCTACCAAAATCTAGTGACTAGAGGTTCAATATTCTGCTACACACCCTACAAGCACAGGACACACCCCTAAGAATCACCCAGCCCAAAACGTCAATGGTGCTGACACTGAAAAACCCTGGATTTGATGTAGGTCAGCAGATGGTGGAAGACAGGTAAACAGCTAATGAAGAAATTGATTTTGGAGATTTACAGGTCATAAATCTATAGATAAATTGATCGATCGATAGACAAGAGATATTCTGACATGGGAGACGCTCAGCATTCAACAAATGGAAGGGACTTCTGATTAAATCTGAAGATTGGATTAACACCATGAGGGTTAGGATAAAACAGTGGATGTGGCTAAAGGCGAAATGATATATTAGCAATGAAGTTGTGTCAGCCATCACGCTAAGTGTTTTGTATTCTTATCGCATTTGAGATAGGGGTTCACCCAATTCTGTGACTAGGGTTACTGTTAGAACTATGGATCAAGTAAGGGTTGGGATCAGGGCTGGAGCTGGGGAACAGCCCACTGCAGGCCCTTCCCAAGGAACAGCCAAAGCTCACTCATTATTTTGGAAACATGCAGACGGCCCTGCCTGCGTCAAGTATCCTAATCTGCGTCAACTGCAGTTCAAGGAGACGAGAGAGGCAGAGCCTGCACAGGTCAGGCTGACGTGACATACACAGGTCAGGCTGATGTGACATGCACAGGTCAGGCTGGCCCACCCACAACTGATAGAAACTGCAGCACACGGATGACCCAGCTCTACACCAGTCTTTGCATCCAGGTCCATGAGGAAGGAGCCGGAGCAAGCTGGAGGGATCTGGGTTTCATGCAAAGGGACAAAGCTACAGCGTCTCAATACTAAATCTACTTTGAGAATACACAGCGGTTTGTTCCATACGTATTAAGAGAATAGGAAGTTTCTGAGGTTCAAGTGCTCTACTTTGTCTGCAGGAGCGGCAGGCAGCTCCAGAATCTACAAGAGGGCCTTGGAGGGGCCCTGGGAGCACTGGCCACCTGTAGGCACATCTTACCCTCAGGAAGTGGGATCGGCATAACCACACCAAAGTTTCAAGAAGACAGATATGGAATGTCATCCTACAGAAGAATGAAGAGACCTAAAATATTGCACGGTGGCCTGGCTGGGCAAAGACTGCTCGAACAGAACGATAACTGTCTGAATGGAACGTGGCAAAGGGGAGAAGAGAGGAACAGATTTGACAATGACTCACCTGCAACATCCAGGCGGAGGGTCACTGGATCTGAGAAACATTAGCAAACTGGTCCATGAACAGCATCACCAGTAAGAGGGTGGTTTGGTTCACAGGCCACCTGAGCGGCTGTTGTGAAACATCCTTGACACCATCCATCACCCAATGTTCTTATCCAGGCACACCCGGAAAGTGGGTTCCTGGTTATTCAGCACAGAAAGTCAAAGCCCTGGTGGGGCAACGAGAGCCTCCTTGTTCCTGGCAAGAGCAGTTTCTTCATATAAATTATAGACTGAAAATTGGTTTGAACATGTCTCTTGAATCTAATTTCCGGGGCAACTTCCCGTGGGCTCGATTTCCTCCCACGTTCTGCCAAAAAGTCTTGGTGAGAAAGGAGACGTCAAAGTCTGAACCACACCAACTTTGCTGTTATACTCCTGATGGGTTTCTAAAAACGAACAAACAAACAAAAACAACTTTAGTGAAGTAAAATCTATATATCATAATGTTTACTCATTTTAAGCGTGCAATTCAATGATTTTCTAATTAACTTACATAGGGTGCAACCGCGACTACAATTCCATTTTAGAACTTTTCTATCAGCTCAAGAAGATACTTGTGCTCATTGGCAATTAATCCCCGTTTCCACCTCCGAGCCCCAGGCAACCACTGATTGGCTTTCTGTCTCTACAGATTTGCCTTTTCTGGGCATTTCATATAAAGGGAATGATCTATTATGCAGTCTTCTGTATCTGGCAGCTTTCAACTAGCATAATGTTTTTTCAGATTCGTCCATGCTGTAGCGTGTATCAGTACTTCATTCCTTGTTATGACTAAATAATATTCTCTTGTGTGGGCATTCCATATTTTGTTCATCTGTTCATCTGTTGAAGGACACTTGTGCTGTTTCCACTTTTTGGCAATCATGAATGGTACTGCTATGAACTTTGGTAAAACCTTTTGTGGAGCAGCGTTTTCATCTCTCTAGGGTAGGTACCCGGGAGTGGATTTGCTGGGTCACTCGGTAGATTTATGTTTTCCCTGGTGATGTCTTGAGCAGCCAGTGGCCCAGCCTCCTCCTTGGCGTTGTGCAGGGTAACAATGGGAGTGCCTGAGAACTTACCAACTAGGTGTTCATAGCATTCATTCCCTAGGAGACTCCCTGTTAGGACTTGTAAAACTCTACCTACCTTTAAATTGAGGGCTGACTCATAGTAGCCATCTGAGGGTGTGATTTCAACACGATGATTCTCTAAAATACAAAAGACATGAAAGCATCTTGAAGACTTGACATCGCATAAGATGGTCATGTCATATTGCTGCCATCACTGGTATTATTCGCTTGTCATCTGCAATCTGAAAGGATGGGGTTTTAAGCTCTATGTGGTAGGATCAGGAAGCAGCTAAGATCTAACGCAAAGAGCCCTTGGCTCTGACGTTTGGTCCCATCCCTTCCACTCCCAGTGATGGGAACTTCCTGACAGTGATTTGCCCTTAAAAGCTTTACTTGCTTCACTTTGAAAAACAGGGCCACCAACCTCATCTGTCAGAGGTTCCACAGGATTAAACGAATTGCCGGCACATTCAATCCTGTCCCATGGGGCTGTTGGGTGGTTAAATTACTTGACCCTAACTTTAACCAAGAAAGCTTGTGTATCTCAAAGAAAACCTCAAAGAACTAAAATATGTTGCAAGATGGGCTGCCTAAGATTCTGAGACCAATCCTCCAACACCAGCTGGGTGTCCTACAACTTAATTCTGACACCATCTACTTGGGAACAGTATCAGTCCTACAAGACTGCCCCCAGCCCCTTCAGATGACAGTCATAAGCCCAAGTTGTCATCTGTTCTTCTGACTGACCAGCTATAGAGAGGAGGTTCCAGTGACCGCCCCCTCCTAGGGTTTGGTTAATATGCTACAGCAGTTCACAGAACTCAGAGAAACATTTACTTACTAGATTACAGGTTTATTATAGAAAGACAGAACTCAGAAACAGGCAGATGGAAGAGATGTATAGGGCAAGGTACGTGGGAAGGGCACTTAGCTTCCATGCCCTCTCCAGCCTGCCTCCCTCCCAGAATCTCCTCCTGTTCACCACCCAGAAACTCTCCAAACTCATCCTTTTGTTTTATATAGAAGCTTCATTACACAGGCATGATTGATTACATCACTGGCCACAGGTGATTGACGTCAATCTCCAGCCCCTTTCCCCTCCCGGGAGATCAGGGGGCCAGACTGGAAGTTCCAACCCTCCAATCATATGGCTGGCTCCCCCAGCAACCAGCTTTGGGCTGCCAATTACCTCCCCCCAGCTTCAGGGGATTTATGGAAGTCACCTCATTAACAAAACCTAGGTGTGGTTGAAAGGGAATTGTTATGAATAACAAGATACCCATTTCACCTTCATGACTCTGCAGCCATTTCAGGAACAAAGGACAAAAGACCAAATATTATAACAAAATATACGCCCACTGTTCTTCCAAGGGTTTGGGGAGCTTTAAGCCAGAAACAGAACAAACACCAAAAATATATTTCTTATTATAAATCACAATATCACACTGCTTCATTTTATTCACTTATCCATTTTATTTCTCTAGGGGATTTATTTGTACAGGATTTTGATATCTCTCTTTTAAATAGAAATAAACAAAAACAATAACACAACACATTGATAAGGCCTTTTTGAAATATGCATTTATATCAATTAGATCATTCAGACGATTTAAACCTGTGGCTCTCAAGCCTGGTTGCTCTTTACAATCACCTGGAGAGTATTCAGTAACACTCAATGCCTGGGCAGCTGAGAGAGGTTACAGGACTTGCCCAAGTCATCCATCTAAGTTGTGATGCCACTGGGATTTGAACCCAGGTCTCTAGATTCAGTCCGGTACTCCATTTCCTACACCATATTTTCTAGAAAGAAAATTGACCTAGAGTTTAACTAAAATTAACTTAAGTGGATGCAAGTCCTGGAGTGGAGAAAGGAAAATTTGAGTCCTTGGCAAAAATATACGGATGAGTGGCAATAACACACTCACCCAGAACAAGTCCACAGGAGGGCCTCATCTCACCTGGCCCAGTGTATGCCGAAACCAGGGCCTAGTTTGTTATAAAACTGCTTACTGTGAAGAAGTTCAGAGAGAAGTGGAGATTCTAAAGGGATAGATAAATCTATAAGCAAGACTACTGAGTTGGTAAAACTCCCAGCTCAGCAGTTCAGAGCCAAAAACAAAAAGGCTTTGTGGGCAGGTGGGTACCTTTATTATAGTAATCAGCTCTGGGCCCAAGAAGCAATGAGGTCATCAGGGTTCCTGGGATGCTCTGAGGGAAGTGAGTAAAGAAACATGTAATCACGTGACACCCGGGGGTGGGGGCTACCAACTTAGGGCCTCTCTGCACCCAAGGCCCGAGTAAGTTTCAGCCAACTTGGAAATCTTCATGGATTGATGGTGGAGACGCTGAACTGGAAGGAATACACTTGAAGAATGAGAAAACTCACAAGAACAGAATGGGAGTTCAAGATCATCAAGACAAGCCCCTTGTTTTACAGGTTAAAGAAAATGAAGACCAGAGAGGGGCAGTGACTTGCTTCAAGGCCACAGAGCTAAGTGGATGGCAGGTCCAAGCCTCCCTGCCCAGTGCTTCTTCCACCATCAAAAACCAAACATGAAAACATGGGCAAAACACAGACAAGCCCCAGTGATCATCAGGGAGAAGAGATTTGGGGGGCACCCCTGTGTGCACTGTCACTCTCTTCCTCCAGCCCCTGCACTCTGCCTAAGGAGGGAGCTGCCACTTTGGTTTCCACTCTGTGTTACAGGGATCAAGAGAATACTATCGAAAGCTGGTTTTACTCTGCCTTTGCTGTGTGTCTTGGGGTTAGTCACTTCATCGCTCTGGGCCTTGGGTTCTCCTTAAGTAAAATGGTATGTGTGAAAAGACAGTTCTAATGATACCCATTATGCCTGGTCTACTCTCTGAACCAGACTGGCAAACTACAACTGATTCTGGCCCACCATCTGTTTTTGTAAATAAAGTTTTACTGGACCACAACCACATCCAGTCATTAATGTATTCTCTATGGATGCTTTTGTGCTATAATGGCAGAGTTGAGTAGAGGCAACGGAGACCACTGCCTGGCCCGCCATGCTGAAAATGTTAACTAGCTGGTCCTCTACAAAAAAAATGTGCTGATCCCTAAAAAACAAACACTCTGCCTACTACCTGTGACATACCCACATACATATATACACACACATCTACCATATATTTATATATTGTCCAGATAATTTTTCTGCTTATGTGTTTGCTTTTAGAAGGAAAATATTTCAAGCATATAGCTAAATATGAAAACAAATGCAATAGATGATCATCATACGCTCCAAGTTTTTTTCTATTTTTTAAAAATTTATTTATTATTTATTTTTGTCTGCGTTGGGTCTGTTGTTGCGCGCGGGCTTTCTCTAGTTGCGGCAAGCAGGGGCTACTCTTCATTGCAGTGTGTGGGCTTCTCACTGCAGCGGCTTCTCTTGTTGCGGAGCACGGGCTCTAGGCGCGTGGGCTTCAGTAGTTGTGGCATGTGGGCTCTAGAGCGCAGGCTCAGTAGTTGTGGCACGCGGGCTCAGTAGTTGTGGTTTGTGGGCTCTAGAGTGCAGGCTCAGTAGTTGTGGCGCACGGGCTTAGCTGCTCCGCAGCAGGTGAGATCTTCCCGGACCAGGGATCAAACCCATGTCCCCTGTATTGGCAGGCGGATTCTTAACCACTGCGCCACCAGGGAAGTCCCCACCCCTAGTTTTAACCGATGTTAATATTCAGTTAGATTTTTATGTTTTCAAAATACTGTATCATAGTAATCTATACTTATAACTAATCTTGAGTTCTTTTAGAAGAAGGAAGAAAAGACATACTCACATGTACCTCGAGCTAAATAACCTGAAGAGTTTAGCACTGTTGTAACATGATTACTGTCATTCTATTTTTGGTTTTTCAGATGGGTAAAAGGGTCTCCCTTATGAGATCCATGGTCTAAATTACAAGGCACACATTTTACCAGAGATTAAGGAATGAGTTTTTTGAGTTTTTTCAATCAAACAAATAGTTTAATATTAAAGTAAAATGGTATCTGGCAACTGATCCACTTTGCTGTACAGCAGAAACTAATAGAACATTGTAAAGCAACTATACCCCAGTAAAGTAAAATGGTGATTTTAGTTAGGACGTTTAACCAGAGCTATCTTTTTTTTTTAAATAAATTTATTTATTTATTTACTTTTGGCTGTGTTGGGTCTTCGTTTCTGTGCAAGGGCTTTCTCTAGTTGCGGCGAGCGGGGGCCACCCTTCATCGCGGTGCGCGGGCCTCTCACTGTCGTGGCCTCTCCTGTTGCGGGGCACAGGCTCCAGACGCGCAGGCTCAGTAGTTGTGCCTCACGGGCCCAGTTGCTCTGCGGCATGTGGGATCCTCCCAGACCAGGGCTCGAACCCGTGTCCCCTGCATTGGCAGGCAGATTCTCAACCACTGCGCCACCAGGGAAGCCCCAAACCATAGCTATCTTAACTAGCAGTTCTTGATGTACTGCTTAAATGCTAATATAAATAGGGCAAGATTTAAAGAAAATAAAGCTTGAGATTGAATTGAATGCCCGTTTCTATCCATGCTTACCCCTAATCCACTTGATGAAATCTTAGTCATAGGAATAAGTTTTAAGAGGAATGTCCTTTTATAGTCACTATTTCTTTTGTTAGAAAAAGCAAAACCTTTGAGACTTCTCTGGACACCAAGGTTTACACAACTTCATTTGAAGTCAAAGTCCCTATAGCCATTTGGTTCCCTAGTGACCTGGTCCCAGCTCACATATAACCAAGGATAGACATTTGTTTCATCTTCTTTAGACAGAGATGGAAAGGGAAGTTTCTGTCTCTCTTATCTGACTTCATCAGCATCTTTGTTTGCCTTCCATAACCTCGTAACATTTCTTCACTGTATTCGTTATTTGTCCTTTTGAGGCTCTTTCACGGTGTGTGTGTGTGTGTGTGTGTGTGTATGTGCACGCACGCGCATGCACACAAGTAGTACCTTCATTCTAATCCTCTTTCAATCCCTCCAATCAATAACAGGGCTCTATATGAGAGAACATAAACTAGCACTGAGGGCTCACCTTTGAAAAATCTCCCTGACCAATATCCCTCTGATACAGAGCTTAAAGATGTACCAAGGGGGAAAGTGGGGGAGGGAGAAATTAGGAGATTGGGAT